CCAATTGATATTTTCAGAAAGAAAGGGACGAAATTGAGATTCCATGCGAAAATAGGGACTTAGTGAATGATTAAACCTTTTTTTTAATTAAGTTGATGTTTTGAAAAATTTATATAATTTGATATTTTTGTTAGTGTTATATCAATAAAGAGAATAGGTAAGGAGAATGACAGTAATTTATATAGTAAGACATTGATGTGGTCGTAATTGAATAGGTAAAATGACAGTTTCTCACTTCTTGTCATCACTTGTTTATAAGACATTGAATTGTGCTTTAATACTATTATTTATTATATTTCTTAAATACTTATTATATTTGTTAAGCCTTATCCACTTTGATGCGGTCGTAATTAGAAAATAATGTGTAGTGTTTTACAATATCGTTTTTGTTTTTATTATAGGTATTAATGCAATACCATAATTTTATTAATTTGGTATGAATTAATATTTTGAGCACTTCAAGAATTATTCAATAAAGTGGTCCGTTTTCCTTAACCAGTCATGAAACTTCATTATCCTTTTGTTAAGGCTGGTAGTATAAGAGAACACAAGCTTAACGTTCATTCTTGAATGAAATCTCCTGTAATATTGCTCTGTTCTGCAAATAAGAATGGTGGTGAAGGTGTATGGCCCAGACTATGGAAGCACTAAGGGAGTGATAGTGTGTCTGATTGAGAAGGAAGTTGAGTTCGAAACTGTGCATGTTGATGGCTTTAAGGGAGAACACAAACAGCCCGAATATCTCAAGTTGCAGGTTCTTTTTCTTTCTTTCTTTATGGAATTTTAGGCACTCTATATGTGAGATCTCATTGCTTGTTGGTTCTTGTTTGCAGCCCTTTGGACTGATGCCTGTTGTTGAAGATGGGGATTATGTTCTTTATGGTTTGTCCCTTTACCCCTTTTCGTATTTTGTTTATACATAGATTTAATATAACATAAGTGATTGTGCAGAATCACGGGCAATACTGAGGTATTATGCAGAAAAGTACAAAAATCAAGGGACGAATATGTTGGGAAAGACAATGGAAGAGAGAGGGCTTGTGGAACAATGGCTTGAAGTTGAAGGGCATAACTATACTCCACCGATCTACAACTTGATCAA